TAAATTCAAGCTGCGGAAATTGACTTTAAATAAATTTAACGGGGATCCAAAACGTTGGGAGGAATGGTAGGACTCGTTTTGTACAAGCCTTAAGGAACCACCCTTTCCAGGAACTGGAGTGGGAACTGCGAGTGCATTGTTGTCTGAAGAAGGCAAGGAGTTCAGTTGTTTATTCTCCAAGGGAAATCATCGGGCGTCGGTATGCGCTGTTGAGACCAATATGGAGGCAAGGAAGGCCATTTTGAGCAAGTCCGGTGCTTTATATTTTTACGGCGTGCGAGTCGCTCGGCGCCAAATTGTGATTCTAAGATTCAGTGTTTAGGATGCGGAAGCCGTCACCATTGGCTTTTTGTGATGCAGGAAGAACACGGCACAGCGACAGTCCCGCAGTAGAAGTTGCGGGAATTTCGTCGATCGTGTAAACAAAAAAGGTTACGAACTTTAATAATAATAATAATAATAATAATAATAATAATAATAATAATAATGATAATAATGATAATGATAATGATAATAATAATGATAATAATAAGAATGATAATAATATAATAATAATAATAATATAAACAATAATAATGGTTTATTTAATAGATCCACTAGATGCCTCTTCTGTTAAATTGCACTATTTACAGTTAACACAAATTACGCCTATAATATTTACAATTAAAACAATAAGAGTGATAAATGAAACTATGGGGTAATCCTACAAAAAAAAAATACTAACAGATTTGAAATTAAAGTAAAATTAACTAATCACTCCGTACTCTATTACATGAAAATTTCCTTAAGAGTCTTAATTAATTTTGGTAAATTCCTAATAAATTTTGGTAAATTGTTAAATAGTTTCGACGCGTTATTTTGGAAAGTACCGTTTTCGGTCGGGACCACCAATCTAATGGAATTGCTTGAGCGCAGTTCCTTGCGACATTCCTGTTTTATTATTCTTAGATAATCTGGCCAAGTCTCGGTGTTATGCAGAGCTTCAAAACATGATTTTAGGAGGTAGAAATCTCTTCTCTCATTAATTGGAAGCCATCTGATTTTAAGTACATCCCGAAAGGAGTAAACATCATTTTTCCTTATCAGTCCAGTCATATGTTTTCAACCCCCGATAACTCGAACCTTCTCAATTTCCCTTGAAGGTTCGAGTTATGCCGTGATTTTAAAGCGTCAATTAATTGGACGTTTAGGGGGTGAGGTGGAGGGG